CTACTACTACTACTACTACTACTACTACTACTACTATTATTGTTATTATTATTATTATTATTATTATTATTATTATTATTATTATTGTTTCGTTGATTTGTCTTTGTCGTAAAACATTGACATAAACAATTACAACTAGATCTAGAAACGAAGTTGAGGAAACCACAGTGCTGTGGGTGGGAAAGTTCCGCTGGAAAGAGCGCGCAATATTAGAATTTCACACAGATTCGAACCATGAATTCCCGTACGTTAGCCAAGTTGGTAACCGAGGGTGTTGCTGCAATCACAGAAAAGGCAGGAAGGAATAGAGTCTAGGAATCTTTCTGGTTTTATATTGTTGACGTCGTATGTTCTGGCAACTTTAGATTGTCGTTGAGCATTTGTCCGATTCTCCGATTCTCCGATGTAGCGTTCAACCAACCATTTTTCTTGGAAGACAACGATCAAATGTTTTTTCGGCTTTTTGGTAAACACAGACTTTTAAAAAACCCCAGAAAAAAACAGCTACGTGGTCGGGGCGAAAAATGCAAACTTTCATTTTTTTAACGTTAGTGCTATGAACACTGATTGAAGCATCAGCATGCTAGTTTTATAACATTACCTACTTTTTAAAATACTTGCGAATCACATGAAAGGAAGGGCACAAAAGATTAAAAGACTAGATTTTGTACCCAATGATAACGTGATTTTTTAATCTTTAGATCACCAATGTATTATACTCGTATGTAACAAAAATAATTTAAATTGGTCTATAAATATACGTGCAATTGCAAAAGTAGTGTTCAGCAAATAGCAGGGAAATCCGAATTTTCCAGGTCTAACCAAAGAGGGTGTGACAGACAGACAGACAGACAGACAGACACACACACACACACACACACACACACACATACACATACACACACCCCCCCCATCACACACACACATAGACAAAACGTCGTTTTCAAGGTCATCATCTTACTTGGTTTGTTGTTTCGGTCTTAACAGAAATGAATGTGTAATCAGAGGTCTCGCATCGTATTACATAGGGCTGTGTTGAAAGGGGTCCTATTCCTGCACTATGCTATGCTCATTGAAGTAAATAGTAAAAAACGCTTGTTTAACTTTAAAGTAATCAATATTCTTGTGGGACATAATTGGTCGCTTTTATTGACAAGCGGGCTAACCCAGATTTTGGGTTTTCCAGAAATTTTGACCAACAGCAAAAGTGGATATTGCCCTACCTATAGGAGAAGTTTAGTTTCATTGGAGTGTAATATTTGTTTTGTTATACCGAAAACTCTCCTTGTCTTTTAAAGAAACTGAACAAGGTGCAAAAACTTTACCTTCGATTTTGTCAAAACAGCATTTTTTGGGGATAGCCCCCTTGTGCTTAAAATGGACCAATTACTCACCCCCCTTGCGCACTACGTTTTCTTCTTCCACGTCTATGCAGGAGACACCCAACTAAAAGGGGGAAAACAGAAGGGGGAAAACAGAAGGGGGAAAAGGAGGGGGCGGGGGTATATGAGAGATGTTCGAGAGAATTCGGAAACCGTTGAGGAGCGGGGTTCAACGATCCACTCCAGTTTTTCTTTGACGGCATTCAAAGTACATCGTGCATGTGGCTTTCTCGTGGCCCGGACAGCGCGTAATTACGTCTTCCCTCCCCTGAAATAATTGTAGTGTTGGGCAAGTTAAAAGCATGCTTTATTATCTGTTTTTCTAGCAGATGGAAGACTTGTCACATAATGACAGCTTACCAAAGTCCGAAAGGAGATTGTTTTTCTCATAAGCTGTAAAGAATTTCGCAAAACAATTGAGCGCTACCAATACACGATTAGCCGTAGTTAAAACAAAACAACCCCCCCCCCCACTCCAAAAAAAAAAAGGTAAAACCCACATTGAAAAAGCAGCACGTAAAATCCGTAATTGTGGCTTATTGATTAAGAATAGAAGTTTTCACTTTGAGAAAT